GTAATCCATACTGAAGGCTGTGGTCTTTGATCTTCATCAGTAAGTGCTTCAAGTCCTCTTCACTTTCAGCAAGCAAAGTTGTGTCACCTGCATAACGCAGGTTGTTAATGAGTCTTCCTCCAATCTTGATGTCCGTTCTTCTTCACAGAGTCCAGCTTCTTAGATTATTTTTGAGCATACAGATTGCATAGGTATGGTGAAAGGACACAACCCTGACGCACACCTTTCCTGACGTTAAACCACGCAGTATCCCCTTGTTCTGTTCAAACGACTGCCTCTTGATCTATGTACAGGTGGTCCTAGTTGCAGGCAAATCTGGGAAGCAGAGTGTTTTAAGGAGGACACATTGTCTTCCTCAACAAAATCTGAGCTCAGGAAGAAGTTAGGCAATTAGCAGTCCAACACACCAGGGAACATCTGTTACCCTAAACCATAACATCTGAAGATGGAAAGTAGATGATGGGGCATTGGCAAATGATGCAGCAGAGAGAAAGAAGGTCAAATTTAAATGACTGCAAAGGGCAGGAGTCTACCAACAAAAAGCAAGACTATTTGCCTTGAAGAACCCAGGAAGGTCCAGAAATTATAGGCATCGGGTACAGTGGAAGAAAGGGAGCTAAATATAAGGGCAGTGTTTGAAAGTCTGCATAAAGAGCAGTCAGACCCTCATCTACATTCCTACCCAGTGCCCCACCCTCCTCCTCCTGGGGGACAGCTGGGTTTGTTCTCTGTAGAACAAGAAAGAATGCAGGATTCTGGAACACCATGCTCAGAGAAGGATGAGGATGAGGTGCTGTCCTGGAAACAGGAGGATTAAGTGAAAGTCTGCATACTAAGTGACAAGACATTGCCTCCCATTCCCCTTCCCTCACATAGCACCAAAAAGTCACCAGGCTTGGCTTGCAGGGAGAGTGGAAGAAACTTCTCTAAAGAAACTCAATGAACTCTACAGGAAGCTATAAGGAATGGCATAAGAAGGAAGAACGCTTGAAAACTAAAAAAGTGGCAGTTGAAATTAAAAAAAAAAAAATCAGTGGGAAAATAGTTAACAAGAACTCTCAGAAAGTAGAACATCTAAACAATTTGTTGTTACTTGCCAGCGAGTTGATTCCAACTCTTGGTGACCCCATGTGTGCAGAGTAGAACTGCTCCATAGGGTTTTCAAGGCTGTGACATTTTAGCAGATCACCAGGCCTTTCTTCTGAGGCACCTCTGGATAGCTTTGAACTGCCATCGTTTCGGAGAACAGTCCAGCACTTAACCATTTGCACTACCCAAGGACTCCCTATTAAGGAACAGGAGTTCCATTAGGTTAGAACAGAATGAAAAACCTAGATGTCCATCAGTTCACCATTCAGTATAGTCCTCCAGGCTACAGCCCACCTCAACACACACACACACACACACACACACACACACACTTCTGATAAATTTTTTAGAGCTTCACTTAACTTGTAAACAAGGATTCCCAGAAATTAGGCAAGATTACAATATGAAAGACAGACCAAAACACAACAAATAAACTTAAAAGAACTAGAGACAATGTAGCGAGCAGAACAAAACTTAAATGTAATTACAATTAATATCATTAAAGATTATAAAAGAAATAGAATCCAAGGAACAAGAACAGGATGCTTTAATATAAGGACTAGTAAGAAGGAAATACTCTTGAAAACTAAAAAACTTGCTGCTAAAATTTAAAAAAATACAATAGGAACAAGTGACAAGATAAAGTTAAGGAAATCTCCTGGAAAGCAGGACAACTTTCAGGTGAGGATGAAAAGGACAAGAGGCGGGTTTCATTATAAGCCTTTCATCACCATTTGACTTTCTTATTTATCTTCTATCTTCTATTTACAGAGAAGAGAGGCTAAAGGTGGTCAAAGTGGAGAAGGGGAGACTTACTCAAAAGTGTGCTCCTTAGCCATCACCTGAGATCTTATTAAATACAGTCTCTTGGGACTCAGCCCAAATCTACAGAATCAGAATCTGCACTTTGTCATCCTTGGGTGATTCCTAAACGCATTACAGTTTGAGAACTGGTCTAGTAGTGAGAGAGACTCAGGTGCTCATTGCTGCACTAAAGGTGAGGAAGTGAAGCAAGGGGAGTCGTTGGGCACACAAGTCATCGGAGGGGTCAAGTGTGAATTCAGCCCAACATTCTAGGTCTCTCCCCCTTTTCACTTGTATATACCCCCTTTACCTCACATTGCTCAGTACTGCTGACAAACCTTAATCTTACCCATAAAACCTGTGGCTGTCGAGTCAATTCTGACTCGTAGCTACCCTATAGGACAGAGTAGAACTGCCCCATAGGATTTCCAACGAGTGGATGGTAGATTTGAACTGCCAACCTTTGGGTTAGCAGCCATAGCTCTTAACCACTGCACCACCAGGACTCCAACCTTTATCTTGGCATTTGAAATTACTTCCTGACTTTCCTACTCTGGCCATCACCTCTTTCTTGAGTTGGATTGAATTTCACCTTTTTCCAGCTTAGTGCCAACTTTGCAAAATCCATCTTTATAGATTTTATAACATGGTATTTTGATTGTTTTAATTTTTCTCAAGTTGTTCCTGTATATTTGACTACCAACAAGATGATACAGAGCTCAATAGATTAGATGCTCAATAAACGTTTAACAACTGGGTTCTGATTTCTTCAACGGTATGTGCCAGAATAGAACAGATGAATACAATGGTAAATAAGACAGTCACCACCCTCCAGGAAAGGGAAAGGAAAATCAAATGAAGAGCTAATAGAGCTTTCTGGGGTAAGCACAGGGTTACAAGAGCTCTTAGGGGGTGCTCAGCAATGCTTCCACTGGATGTGAGGGCTAAACTAAATGTTTGTTAGACAAAGAGGATTCTTTAATTCTCAGTCCCGCCAACAGATGTCTTTATTATACTTCTGTTGAGAAGTGTTGAAAGATTTATAAAGCTTCTCTAAATATTTCAATGGAAGTTACTGATATACCACATAAGCCATTTGTTACTGTTAAGTGCACAATAGGTACTGAAATGAAATCTAGCTAAGCCAGAGTTGGTCTTTGGACTACATATTACGGAAACCATTTAAAATGATGTTTTGTAACATGAAGCTTTTAGAACTGAAGAAAATTCAAACTAAGAATATGAATTTTAAAGGAATAAAAATCAAATACATGGTTTTAAGATAAATCAGAAAATTATGGTATTACTGAGAATGCAAAGTCCTGATTAAATATACAAATCTAATCAAAAGCTAAGTCTTCAGACATTCATAAGCAAAACTTAATTCTGAGGTTTTAAAAATACTTCCTATGATTAAAGATCTTATCTCCTTTACTAAAGTGAGGATTGATCTATGTAAATTGGCTTCTCTTTCAAGCAACTATTATGAACAAGCTATTTGGGGTTATTAGAGAACTGACAAGATGGTGCTTTTAAAAAAATGGTTCTATTAAAGATGAGTTAACATATATCCACATAAGGAATTCCTTATTCTGTGGCATTTTCCCAATCCCCATTCATTGGTAGGAAATTTTGAACTTATTCCTTATAAAGGAGGGAATTTGTATATTGAGGGATTCTAGGGCCCAGGGCAGTCTGCCATAAACATATTTTTTTGAAGCCTCATCCTTTATCTTAAATCTACTCTATAATAAATCCATGGTTATTTTTTTAACAGAAAAGGCTTCCACTCAAAAAAAAAGGTAAGTAAAAGTGACACTCCAGAAAGACATTTATCCTATGACTGAGAAACCAGCATCCTTGAGAACAGCATACACTGTAGATTTGCTCCCTTTATCCGCTCTGCCTCATATTTGTTGTAAAACTTTAAAGATAAATATTGAATCACACATTTGTTCCTGGTGCATATGTATGTGAAGAGCAGCGAAGTCTTGAAACTTATGTGAATAAAAATTTTTATTTTTTTTTGCCATAATCCAATTCTAATCTCTGTTACTTTAATCAAATTCCAATTTTATTATATGCATTAAATTTACAAAAAGTTCTCCCACACCACACCAAAGCATTCCTCATGCTTTATTTCCAATGCTCAGACACTTAATGAATGAAATCATCTTAATGAGTCTCTCTTGATTAACTCCTTCAAATACATATTGTCCAAAACCTCTCTGTCAAAAAAGATTTATCCTACGCTTAGCTACACAGACGCTATCAAAGTGTTCCCAGTTCAGCATGAATGGATGTTCTCTGGAATACAAACTGAATGTTAGGGAAACGCTGCTCATCACTGTCCACTGATCCCACTGGGGAGAAGTTCTTCATTAGAATTCCTCCTCTGCCTGTTTGCTGCGGGACTGCTTGAGCTGCTGCAACCGCTCGATGGTTTCAGAAACAGTACGCTCTCCATGGACCTTATTATCTCTTGTGCGGATGTTCACGGTGCCACTGGTTTTCTCTTTTTCACCAACAACTAAAACATAAAAGACACAAAGCTTTGTGAGACTGAATCTAAAGATACGGAAGGATTCTTATTGAACATCTGAGCGGAAATCATCTTAGGCCCCAAGAGCCACCCTGAACCTTCATTAAAATGAGCAGGTGACCATATATAGTTGAACAACTGATTTAAAAGTCTATTTATTTTTTGAAAATACATACCAGTTGGCAGTGTTGCTCTAAAATGGCCGTGTTTGTTGAGTTACTTAATGCAGTCAACTTAATAAAACCTTACTGTATGAAGAAATATGAGGTAAAGGGGAGGAAATTTTTAGACAAACTTTTAAAGATTCTTTTCAAACCCAAATTTTCCTTTGTTATGTTAATTGAAGAAACTTAATAGTTTTAAGAATCAGGATTGGAAGGAATCAAACTTAGGGCCAGGTCTCAAGATTTTAGTGGATCTTCCTAAGGTTTGAGAAATTTTCTATGGTAAGTTTTCCTCCATACCTAGAATGAAGTTATACTGAGCCAATTGGGCATTTCTGATCTTCTTATTCAGTGTACAGCCTGGATCCAGATCAACATCAGTCATGAATTTAGCATCATGGAATTGTTGCCGTACCTATTGCGACAGAGATACAGAATTCTTCAGATGTAAAATTAGAACTACAGTTTGATCTTGAATGGTTTTACTCCACATAGGATTTGGATAATCATACAAACATTAAAAAAGGACTGCTAACAGTATATACTGAAGCATATATTATTAATTTGTTACTTAGTTCTACAATTTAAAAAATCAAAACTTATTTTGCTCGTGAGAGAGAAATGTTTTAGAATAATCCTTAAACATCAGAATTTCAGCAATCAGCTAAATCTAACCAGCTCTCTTAAATCATATTGATGCTGTTGTTAGGTGCCGTTGAGTCAGTTCCGACTCATAAAGAGCTTATGTATAACATATAACAGAAAGTTGCCGGGTCCTGCGCCATCCTCACAATCGTTGCTATGTCTGAGCCCAGTATTGCAGCCACTGTGCCAATCTTTCTCATTGAGGGTCTTCCTTTTTTTCACTGACCCTCTACTTTACCAAGCATGATGTCCTTCTCCAGGGACTGGTCCCTCCTGATAACATATCCAAAGTATGTGAGACAAGTCTCACCATCCTAGCTTCTAAGGAGCATTCTAGCTGTACTTCTTTCAAGACAGATTTGTTTGTTCTTCTGGCAGTCCATGGTATATTCAATATTCTTCACCAACACCATAATTCAAATGCTTCAATTTTTCTTCGGTCTTCCTTACTCACTGCTCTTAAATCATACAGATTGTAAAGGGAAAGAAATCCTTTTGCAAGTGTATCTCAAGTTCCTGATACAGTTTCCAGGAAATAATTTGGTTAGCTTCCATATAACATCCAACGACAGATGCCCAGCCTAAAAGAATATAATGTTTCTGATCCCTCAAATAAGCAGCAATTTGGTAAGTAGGTAGGAATCCACTTGTTGCTACCATTTATGTGCACAATATTTTTTAAAATAAATGCTGGTAATGCAAACAATAGTCTAAAATCATTGCCACAGCTTCTTTTATGTTTCTGGAGAATGGAATATAAACTGCCATATAAAATTGTCTTTTAACCGTAACTGTTTCTTTAATACCCTGTGTATACCAATGACCTAATTAAATAGAACTCTATTCTAAAAGAATAATTTGAATAAAATATCAGGGTTAAGAATTATTGAATTTTCTTTTTCTTTCTAAATTCTGATTTCCTTTTTGATTTAGAGAGAGCTTATTAAATGAAGGAGGCAGATGAAGAAGTTAGAGCCAAAGATCAAATCAGGGTATCTTGAAATAAGTTTCCAGGAATTTTAGAGTTGGCAAGTTAAATATTATTGTTTTTTTTATTTTTGTCTCAAAAATACTAGTTCTAATTTTATCATCTTAAGTTTATGCGTATTAGGTAAACATTAAGTTTATGTGTATTAGGTAAAGTTTCCAGTACTGTATTTTTATGCAAATAACGCATGCCTTCTGTTTGTTTGCCAGCTGCACCCTCGCCCTGCGAGATATTTTCATAAGTGTCTTAATTTTTTTTACAGCAATATGTTAAAAAAATTGGCATAGAGGCACTTCTGAAAATACCTTGCAGGGGGAAGGCGCTGTTGGCCAACAAATGTAGAAGGAGCGTGTTATTTGTGTAAAAATTTGGTATTTTCTTCTCCCAAATAGTGACACTCTAAGCTAGATTAAATTTCCCACTCACCTACCAACAAATCTCCAGTGACAGGACAAAAAGATCTGAAGAATCATTTTTATTTCACTGTCTTTTCACATGAACCTCAAATTTCAGAAATGAAAAATACCACATGATTAATGTTTCAAAGAAATGTTCCTCAACTGAATAAATATTAATTTCTAAGTATGAGAAAGTTTCCCTTTTATTAGGTTCTCATGGGCATGAGTCAATCCTTTAGCTTTAAAATGGAATAATAAAGGTTTAAGTTTAAAAGTAATTTAAATTAAAACAAATTAATGATGGGTGAATAAGAAAAAATATATATTTCTGTTCATAACAACTAGTTTTGAGAGTTTGCATCTTATATTGAAAAAACACCATACCTGGTTTAAATACAGTTTCCTATGTCCACACAAAACCCTACACATGAATGTTTGTAGCAGCTTTATTTATAATTGCCCAAAATTGAAAGCAACCAAGATGTCCTTCAATAGATGAATGGATGGACTGTGCTGCATCCACACAATGAAATATTATTCAGTGGTAAAAAGAAATGAGCTATCAAGCCATAAAAACACATGAAGGAACCTTAAATGCATACTGCTAAATGAAAAGAAGCAAGTCTGAAAAGGCTCTGCACCGTATGATTCCAACTATATGACACTCTGGAAAAGGCAAAAATATACAGACAGTAAAAGATCAGTGGTTGCCGTGGGTTCAGGGGGAAGAGAGAGAGGGATAAACTGGAGGAGCATTTTTGGGCAATGAAACTATTCTGTGTGATACTGTAATAGTGGACACATGACATTAAGCATTTGTTAAAACTCATAGAACCATAACACAAATTGTGAACCCTAATGTTTTAAACCATGGACTTCAGTTAATAATAAAAGGCTCCTTTAATTAATAATAATGTATCAATATTGATTCATCAGTTCTCACAAATGTACTACACTAATGTAACATGTTAATAATTGGGAAAGCTGTGTAAGAGTGAGAGTGTGGAATATGGGAACTCTCCATAGTTTCTGCACAATTTTTCTGTAAACCTAAAACTGTTCTAAAAAATAAAGTGTACTTAAAAATAATAATAATTAAAAAAACCCAGTTTCCTTAAAAATGGCTATTAATTCAAACAAGGGGCGAAGAGTCTGAGGCTGGAGTTCCTTCCTCATCGCTGCTGTAGGGATGGCACCCTGGGGCTCTAACTCAAAGTCACGGAGCACTGATTATCTATCTTCTTCTCGTAGACACAGAAGTTACAAAGTTCCTGCTAAGTAGACCTGCCATCACAATAACACCCAGACCACTACAGAGAAGACCAGGATTTTCTAGAAGTCCTGATCAGAATACAGAATGGAAATAGCAACACTTCTCCTTATCACAAGCAGCTTGGCTTACCAAGAATACATGGCTTACCCTATTTGAAAAGCCAAACAACAGAAAATAAATTTAAAGAAAAGTAATATGTAAGGATTACCTTTTGAGCGTACTCATCACACATGGGTCCCACAGGAACTACCATTACCTGGTGAGGAGACAGCCAGAAGGGCCTTTAGAAGAAAATAAAAGTATTTATTCTTAGTCTATTTTTCAGTAACTTTTCGAGAAACATGAAAGGGCTACTTTTTTTTTTTTTTTTTTTTTTT